TTCTAAAATTTAACACGTGATACAACTCTGCGTACATGGAGTCAAATTCAAACCCCAATTTGCACGATTGAGTGTATGCATTTGATGTTGAAAAAAAAATAAATTAGTGGAGACTAGCCAATTTTCACGTAATTAAACCACAGCTAATCAATTTTGTAACTAATAGCAACGTGAACATAATTGCCCCCCATCAAGAAGTGTCTCATCAGATCAAGTTGTAATATATTTTTTTTACATAGTTAATTAATCCATCTACCCATAGGCGGCCATAGCATATTTATTGCTCAAAAAAATTTCCATGAGGCTAGGGTGCATAGGAAAGAATGGCATCATATCTTCTCCAATTCTCCATCTATAAATTAAACTATTAAAGCAAACGAACACCGTGCCGCAGTGCGTACATCCTGCGATGCTCCGCCTTATGGGTTTACCATTATCCTTAACCTTAAAGTGTTGTATCCTATGTTTTCTACTGGTTTATGAGGTAGCTTCTGCTGTGGAGAACGAGAACCAAAAAGTAGTAGTATGTCCATTCCGTAGCATATACCAGTTTGGTGCTTCCCTCTCCGACACCGGAAACTTGATACGAGTGGGTGACATTGGTCCAACCCTGCCTGCTGCTCGTCTTCCCTACGGTATAACTTTCCCCGGCAGGCCTACCGGCCGCTGGTCCGATGGCCGCCTTACCATTGACTTTATTGGTAAGCGAATATCCACCTAGCTGTTTTCACAAAAAAAAATAAAAAAACAATCCAGCTAGCTGCACTATTAAGGGTGCGTTTGAAAACCCGAAAAATGACTTTCGGAAAATATTTTCCTAGTTTTCAGTGTTTGGTAAGAGGGGGGAAAATGAGGTCAATGAAAAATGATGTATTAGTTAAAGGAAAATATGTATGTTTTGGGAGAAAATGACTTCCCTTTTATTTTTGGGAAGTCATTTTCCAAGGAATGCACATGTAAAATTTTTTTGAACCTAATTTTTTGCGGACTTTTGGGAGTCGGCCCAACAAACTCGCAGGCTAGAATTCATGCAACCAAAGTCGGCCCCATGCGGGTTGGCGGGCCGGTCCGAAGTTTTGTTTTTAATTCAAAGTTAAAAACAATAAAGTATATAAATAATATTTTTTTTTGTATTTAAAAATTAAAAAAAATTACATTTTTTAAAATGTTAATATTTTATATATATTACTGTGTAAGTAGTATATATATATATATATATATATATATATATATATATATATATATATACTAGTTCTTTTACGCGCTTTGCGCGAATAGAATAATGCCCAATAATTTTTTTAAATAAATATTTCAAAGTATATCAATGCAATTTCATATCGGAGATATTCATGTATAAGTAAATAAATATTGATTTTGTTTATTTAAATCGGTAATTTAAAGTATATAAATGCAAGATAATATATGAGAGATTGATTATATTATCACTAAAATAAATGTTTGCAATTTTGTAATAACGGTAGTCTAAATACTTAGTCTAAATGAATATTACTTTTGATTTAAATTTCTCTAATTCTTCTTAATTCTCTTTTGGGTAGCATTATATCATTGTCTTCATCTTCAGTACATGTCCTCTCTTTTTTTTCTTTTTTTTCTTTTTATTGGTAGTGTGTCGTGCAATTGAGTTACGGGTGGTAACATAGATGGATTCATCATGCAATGAGATTATGGTGTAGGAAGCTTTAGATTTGACTTGTTGTGTATATGATGAGATCTTAGTTGTATTATTAACTCTTTATCTTACAAGCACCTATTAATATTTGATAGTGGTAGTTTTTCCCCTACATGTTTCATGCATTTTGAGATGTGTGTCGTAGGTTATCATGTGAAAGTATTGAACAAAATATTAATATTTATTATATTTGTATAAAATACTTGGTAAATAAATATATATAACATATTTTGTATTATAACTTTAATATTTAATTACAAGATAATGTAAAAAGAATACCATGGACAATGTAGTGAATATAATAAATTAATAATTTGAAGGTAATGAATCTTTGAACGGTAGAAAATAAAGATAATAATATAACTACTGAAATTATATCTCTTTTAAATTTTTTATAATGAATAATTTTTTTAAATAAAGGCATTATAGACATCTAATTCTAAATTAATTAAATGCATATGTATTATTTTTTGTTCTAAATACTAATTTATTTAATTTAATAAGAGTAATAAAGTGGTGTACATACTTTTCATCAACAATAATGAAATTATTGATTCTTTATTTTATTTACATTTGTTATTGAGACAAATTATTTTGAGAGTTTGTCAATTACAATTGTTACAATTCCTGTCAATAGAGGATGATAATAAATAATTCAAAATATATAGTTACAATTGATATTGGTATAATGATATAGTAAAAATTAACTTACAAATTTCTTTAGAAGTTTTCATGCATTGATAAAATTTTGATGTATAAACTTGTTCAATTGGAGCCAATGAGATGTCAACATTGTCAATTCTTTGGAAAATGATCTTACCGTTTTAGAGCCCAAGTGTAATTGTATTTATGATCAACAACTTTGTAGTTAGGTCGCGCAGGTCTAACAATGATGTAAGAACAATTTTGTCCGATAAAAAAAAAAAATAGTATAATATTTGTAAAGTAATGTACAATTGTATCATTATAAAAATACATGCAAAAAATATTGATAACATAACGGCCTAAATCATACCAATAATGTAAAAGTATAATTGAAATATAATATTAAGTTTTGTTCTAATCAAAAGAAGATTAATTAAACGAAAAAAAAAAAAAAAAAAAAAACTTAACCTAATTTTTTTTTAAATGCATAAAATCAAATGATTTTTAAAGTTCTTAAGTTATAATCTTTAATGCTTAACTTTGAATGTTATGTATTTAGTCGGACTAATTATATGACCAAAGTTTATGTTAAATTTTATATATATATATATATATATATATATATATATATATATATATATATATATATATATATATATATATATATATATATATATATATATATACTTTTAATACATTTTAAAATATTCGTAGTATATGTTTAATAATTATGTCAATTCTAATATTAATGAGTAAGTTAAAAATAATAAATAGTTAACAGAATATTCCGTTACTAAAGTTTATACTACTCATTTTCCGGAACCAAACATACAAAGACAGTTTTCCGTTGTGTAGCCAAACACCAGAAAGGAAAATATTTTCTGGAAAAAATGACTCATTTTCCAGAAATCATTTTCCTACTTTTCAAACGGAGCGTAATATAATTATGACCAGAGATCGAGTCTCACCAGCGGCAGTGTGGGAGCAACCTCTCAAGGTGAGGGGCTCCTTGTACCCAGTAAGCAAAGGTCTAGCTTCTGTGATTTATGTTCAGTTGAGTTACCATGATTTACAACCCCCCAGCAGCTCTGTCGGGTCGGGGTGTGGAGGCCCTTAGGGTTGGGTTTAACCTTTTGGAAAGAATGAAAGTAATATATTGTCTGTTTGACTGTTTGTGGACATTGGATTTTCATCATTTTATTTAATGGATTGTTGAGCTGTTGTGATTTACCTATTTATATTATTGAAATAGGCAAGGAGGAAGAATATTCAGTTTTCATGCATGTATGTATGTATATATGTTTAATATTAATGGCAACGCATGCAGCTGGAGCTGTTGGGCTCCCCTTGTTAAATCCCTACTTGGACAAGAATGCTTCCTTCACTAACGGTGTGAATTTCGCGGTGGCCGGCAGTACTGCACTTGATATTGGTTTCCTAGCACAAAAAGGTGTTGTTATCCCAAATATTACCGTCCCTCTTGGTGCACAGATCAACTGGCTCAAAACTTACCTCTCCTCCTCCATCTGCTCTCACCCCTCAGACTGTAAAGACAGGCTAAAGGGAAGTCTGTTTTTCGTCGGTGAGATTGGACGAAATGACATCAGTTTCGCGTTAGTACAAGGAAAAACCATTCAACAAGTGGCGGCGTATGTGCCCGACATAACAACCTCTGTTATCAACGCTGTCAGAGTATGTACATTTGTTGTACTTTTTTTTTTTTTTTTTTTCTGTCCCAAATCCCAATTAACGAACCATTATATTGCATACGAATTGAACGTACATGCAGGAAGTTATCCAGGTGGGTGGCAGGCGTATCGTAGTACCTGCGACATTTCCTTCAGGATGTTTTCCTAATCTGTTGAGTCGATTCGGGGCCAAGAATCGTGAAGATTACGATGAACTAGGATGTCTGCGCAGCATCAACAACCTTATCGCCTTCAAAAACAACCATCTCCAACAAGCTTTGGGATCGCTTAGAAAGGAATTTCCAGACGCCGTCATCCTTTACGCCGACTACTACGCAGCCTTCCAATCGTTTCTTGCTCGCGCGCCTTTACTTGGTTAGTTCCTCATTATATTTTTCAATCACTTTTAATTCAGCTTCATTCGGATCGATCCATAATTATATATATATTGATGGAATTGTATATTGCGTGTATGTGGTACGGTTTAGGGTTCGACCCAAATAGGTTATTCATGACCTGTTGCGGGACCGGTGGAGGGCAATATAACTATGACAGAAACAAAGAATGTGGGGCCACTGGCGTGATCTCCTGCCCAAACCCACATCAATACATACACTGAGACGACATACAATTAACCCAGGAAGCTAACCGTGCCATATCACGAATAGTCATTCCCAATATGTTCTCGAGAATTCAGTGTTTCTAATGTAATACCATAAATAAATAGGTCCCTTTTTATATTATATTGCCCATTCCAACTATATATTATATTGGACCTATAATAATAATAAATATAATTCCGCTTTTAGTTATCGAAAATTCAGTGTTTCTAATGTAATACCATAAATAAATAGGTCCCTTATTATATTATATTGTCGCCCATTCCAACTATATATTATATTGGACCTATAATAATAATAAATATTATTCCGCTTTTAGTTTATTATGTTTTTTCCTTGAAAGAATAGTTGAGTGGGTAGCTAGAACATACATGACTCTCATATCCTGAAATTACAAGTTTAATTCAATTCAAAATTTTGAAAAGTAAAAATAATTAGAAGAATTTAACACAGTACAATATATATAACTTTAGCAGCATTACAATGCAAGCTAAGCAAAGTGATGATACAATAATTAAATTATTAGGAAGATTGATGCGATGCCACACGAGGTTTTCCGAATTAAAATCCACACACGACAAATAGTCAAATACAATCACAATATTGAATTGGTTGATGCATATATATATATATATATATATATATATATATATATATGCGGCGGAGTTGCCTAGCTAGCAGCACCAGCAGCAAAGAAGAAAACTCAAACTGCATAAGACATTTATGGTACGTACTGTTAATTATATGACCCATGCATAACCCAATGAATCCATATATCAAACTTAGGGTGTCTTTGATTTGGGACTTTTACATCTTACTATAGATTTTGATATCTATTACTCTGTATTAATCTGCCATTCTCAAACTTTTTCAGGTATGCACGGTATTAATATTTTGCACGTTTAACATTTTTGCACATTTAGTATTAACATTTTGCATATTTAATATTATATTAAAAGATTGCACTTGCAAAAAAAAAAAAAAAAAAAAATTAGTGATTAAGATCTAGCATTTACAGTTTAGATTTAAAATTTAATTTTTTTCGTTGATTTTATAAAATTACCAGATTTGCATATTTAGTTGTTAAAAATTGCATATTTAAGTATTCAAGTTTGTATAGTGAAGTGATGATAATTACAAAAATGTCACCGTATTTTTAAAAAAAATCTAATCAGATTTATCAAATTTTTACCATGTAAGACTGAGATTGATTCTTATTTTTCTCATATTTTACTGTTCTCACAAGATCCTTAGCATATATATATATATAATAAAATTTCATATTTAGTGCTTGGATAGTGATTTTGTTTTTTTTTTTTTTTCCTTATCTTTGATTCCATTGTTTAAATATGGATAAGTAAAAAGGTAATGAATTTTATAATTATTAAAGGAATGCATTCTCCCATAGTATTATAGTAGGGTGTAAAAGTCTCAAATTAAAGACCACCTACATTAATAGATGAGAGTATAATTAAAATAAGATGTAAAGTAAATTAAAGGAAAGGATTTAGTGTGATAGATGTATACTATACCAGCGTTGCAAACACGAACAGAAACCGTGGTGTTCGTCCTCCGGGGCCTCTACAAGAGGAGGCGGTGGTGGCGAAGGTTCAAAATACCCCGCCGGCGAAGGCCATTCTTCTGGTTGTGGATATTGGTGTTGGTGGTGGTGGTGGACGAGAGTCGGCGGCGCTTCTTCATAGCCAGGTGCTTCATATGGAACTTGCTGATAACTCATGCTGCCCGGCGTTAACTTTGGCAGTAAATTAAAGTTAGTTTTGAGCAAAAATGGTTCGAGGAGCTTTTAAATAAATAATGGCCGCCGGAAGCTTCTTTTCCCAGCTATCTCAACCAACACACCTTACCAATTAATTGTTCAAGTCAGATCAGATCGATCAACTGAGCTGTACAGAGATTTTATATAGTAAATAATAAACACCAGTCCTACAAGTTTGCTGAGCCACTCCTATTTTTCTCAACTTTCATTTTCAATAGAAACAGCAGGTACAGGATAGATATTAATTTTTGAGCGGGGCCGCGTAGAGAGAGTGTACACCCAGTAAATTCTTACTTGTGACCTTTCTCTGAAAAGTAAATTAATCTAGAGAGACTTAATTAAGAAGACCAATAGGTTGCTATAATTTGAATCAAACTTAGAATCTTGTACTTACTAAATTAATTGTAGGATATGATATTAATTTGTGGTACGATATTGCATGGCAGGCAGTCCATCCACTTTGCCCTCGTGTTACATGCATCTCTATCTTACCCCACATCCTAAATATTATGACAACCTCCCCCAACCACTCTTAACTTTTAAATATCTTTATTAATCCCCATAACAATATTATTGCGCATCCAGGCATGTCACACAATGCAACAGCATAGACACTAATTATTTTGAAGGAAAACGCAACATGCATTAATATAATAAAGCAGAAATAGAGTTAGGATGGACTGAATTCTAGTATAAAGTGCTAGCATGTGAAACGGCCGCAGTAGCAAGAGAATGAGCTATAACATTAACTGATCTAGGAACTAAACTAACAATGCAATCATTAAAAGTAGACATGGAAGCCCTGCACTCTCAACAATCAATAATTAATATAGTTAATATTGCAAATCACTTAATTAGATCGAACTGATATATAACGTAACCGTGATCAAAATAATAATATTTATTATGGCTCAGCCCACAAAGATCCACTTTTTCTTTTCTTTTTTTTTTTTGTTAAGATCGAATACTTACCACAATGTCAAAGATATAACTAGTAATGAATGTGTAACTTTAGATCAAACACTTATTACAACTATGCATGCCAAAGATATATATAACTAGTAGTGAAGGTATAACTTTATAAGGACAATTTCTAGCCTAAAGATCAAGCGTTTACCACTACACCATCTCATACCACTTGCTAAGATCAAGGGCTTACCACTACATCAAAAGTTATAATTAATTAATTAACAGCCCATGTGCAACTTTATTTCTTTATACAACCACATTTCAAGAAGTAGATCAGAGTAGTGTTGGACATAACTCTTCTTCACCGACATCCGGCCAACATTTTTGGATTTCATGAAATTGAACTTTGACAGACATTTCAATCCTATGTTTCGTGTAACAATCCTAGTCCGGCATTCTTCTCTTGTTTTTGCAATACGTACAGAGCAGGGCCATATCATATGGGTGTTATTGTTTTTTAGTTTCACATACCAATCTACAAATGGATTATTTTGTGAATAATGAGTAATACACCTTTTTTTTTTTAATGTATTCAATCACATCAAATTTGATGTGAGACTTTGCGCAACTGTTTCTTAATCACTAAGAGTTTGAAATCTAAATAATAATAATAATCCGTAAGTTTATATATATATATATATATATATATATATATATATATATAAACATTTTATATCATGTTTGGTTGAATGTATAAATTTCTCATATATATTACCGACACACTTTGGCAGGTAGATTAGCTAGTTATGCTCTTTTCTTTTCTTTTTTTTTTTCTTTTTTTTTTTTTTTTGCATAGTTCTGAAAATTTGCATCAAAATTCTCAAACTGTAATAGAATACAATAGTATTCTTATTCCTCACCTATTCCATTCCTTATATAATAATATTCTTATTCCCTCAAAATTCATTCCGTGAACCAAACATGCCGTAAGTCTATAGTAACGTGTCCAATCAAAGTTATTGATAACTTAGGTGCATAAGTCTCAAGAGTCCAGACTTAAACTTTTTTTTTTTTTTCGAATGGTACTAGCTCTATTACATTGTAGTATCTGTTCATATACTTTTTTTTTTTTTTCGAATGGTACTAGCTCTATTACATTGTAGTATCTGTTCATATACTTTCTCAACCTACTGAAACACAAAGAGCTAATAACGCCTCCACTGAGGCTCGAACTTACAACCTTCCAAATGGAAGTCCAACCCGGATACCATTAGACCACATAGTCCTGGTAGTCCAGACTTAAACTTAGTTAAATGCAAAAATATTATATTTTTTAAAGGTATACCTTGCTCTAAGTAAATGCGGATTGGATCCTATCAAAAAAATAATGTAAATAATTTGTCCCACGTAACATTTTTCAATTAAAGGAAAAAGGAAAATGGGTCATATTGACCACTAAATCAGCTGGATAGTTCAATTAAGTCTTTTAAGTAAAAAATTAAAAAAAAAAATCATTAAAGTCTTCTAAACTTGTAAAATTATTCAATTAAGTCAAAATTGACTTGTTTAGATGCTTAATATCTTTGTTGGGTTAACACATGTTTTTTTTATTTTTTTAATATTATTTATTTATTAAAAATTAAAAATATTATTTAAAAAACAACCACCGGCAGCGCGAAAAGTCGGTGACTATCTTCTTCATGGACAGTTGTGGTTGTCCAGCAAGGACAACCACCGCCTTCGAAGGAAGACGGCCAAGACCGTCTTCTAGATCTAGAACGAGGACAGCTGGTGGCCATTTTTTAATAAATAAATAAAATAAAAAAGTACATGTGTCAACACAACAAAAATTTGACCTGCTAAATAAGTCAATTTAGACTTAATTGAACAATTTTACCAATTTAAGAGGCTTAAATGTTTTTTTTTTATTTAGACTTAATTGCACTATCTATCCAGTTGTCTTAGGGGCCAATTTGACCCATTTTCCAAGAAATAATGAGGCGTATGGTTGGAAGGAGAGAATTACGTGGGAAAGGAATTACAATTCCATGGGAGATGAATTACTGGAATAAAATTACTGGGAATTTCAATTCCAATGTTTGGTATACATGGGAATTGAAAGAAAATAAGTAATATAAAGTCCAAAATGTCCATTGTTGCTATCAGGCATCAATTTTAGGGTAAAAAAGGGGAGGGTAATTTTGTCTCATCATTATTTTTTTTTTCTTCCCAAGATCCATGGAATTAAAATCCCAATGGGGGGCATGAGATTTTAATTCCATGAAAATGAAGGAATTGCAATTCTTTCCAACCAAACTAAGAAATTTAGTGGCATTTGGAATTAGGTGGGAATTAAGTGGGAATGAAATTTAAATTCGATCCCTCCAACCAAACGCTGTGTAAGGTGAGAAGTTTCCTTGGCAATAGGAAGAGGGCAAATTATATCGTGCACTAGGGTGCACAATGCATTGTGCATCCTGGCCCAAAACGACGTTGGTTTATATCTTTTTTTTTTTTGTTTGGAAATTTCGTTTCTCGTTTCTGATGTTAACGTCTAAAAAAAAAATTCTATGTTTCGAATGTATATAATTGTATAATAGAATACACATAAACCCCTAACATAATACACATAATCTTTTTTTAAAGGATAATACACATAATCTAACATAATACATAATACACATAAACTCTTAACTTTTAAAAAAAAAATCTCTTGTTTCAAATGTGTACATAATTGTATAATAGAATACACATAAACTCCTAAAATAATACACATAATCATTTTTTAAATGATAATACACATAATCTAACATAATACACATAAACCCTTAACATAATACACATAAAACGGTGTTCGTCGCTTCAATTTTCCACACAACTTAACAAAATAACGTCATTTTGAGCAGGACGGAGTGCACAATGCATTATACGCCCTGGTGTACGATATCGATTGGATGAAGAAACTTAGAAACTATTCAAAAACCCCTTCTCTTGAGGTAAATTATAAGCTAGCTAGGTGAGACATATTTTAAACATGATCATCAAAATGGCACACATTATTTATCATTAATTAATTAAATTACAACATATATACTAACACTAGTTCCTTTCTCTGGTTCCCGGCCATGTCAGTCTGTGACTGAGAACGGAGAAGAGAAGCCACAAGGGGTGCAAAGCAAAGCAGGGAACATGGGCACAATAACATCTTTTTTATTGAACATATACATATAATCATCCCAGCCAGCACTAGAGTTATGTCAACCCGCAAACACAACATACTAAATTGGGTACATGTCTGTCATACATAGGCAATATAATACCATACTTGTCTGATACAACGTAACAATATTATTCTTGTATTAAGTTGTAGCGTACATAGGGATTACAACATAATAAATTTGATATGGATGGATGGATCGATGGATGATGACGACTAACCGCAATATTCAGTCCATAAATCCACTGGGCTTTTAATTATTACATAAAAGATAAGGCATCAAATACAGAATAGGAAATTTAAAAAAGAAATGAAAATAAGAATTACAATTAAGCAATAGAAAGATGGCAAACCGAGCTGCAGACTTGGAAGGACAGTTGCGCTGATCACATAATCGAACTGGGATTTCATGAAAATTAAAAAAGGGAGTGAATTAGTGATGAAAGGAGCAGAGGAAGATAAGATTGTGGAGTTACAAATCACAAATACAATCGGGTAAAATAAAAAACAAAACTGCAGGCATACCATGAACAGCAGCCTTCTGACTCGTGACGGTGGTGGTGGGCGTCGACAGGAGGCGGTGGTGGCGGAGGTTCAAAATACCCCGGCGCCGGAGGCCCTTCTGCTGGTTGTGGATATTGGTGTTGGTGTTGGTGGTGGTGGACGTGAGTCGGCGGCGCTTCTTCATAGCCAGGTGCGTCATATGGAGCTTGCTGATAACTCATGCTGCCCGGCGTTAAGGTAAGTTTGGCAGTAAAGCTAGTTTTGAGCAAAAATGCATGGATCGATGAGCTTATAAATAAATAAATAATGGCCGCGCGCGGAAGCTTCTTTTCCCAGCTATCTCAACCAACACATCTTAGCAAATAGCAATTAATTGTTCAAGTCAGATTAGATAAACTGAGCTGTACAGAGATTATAAATATATATAGTACTCCATAAATAATAAACACCAGTCCTACAAGTTTGCTGAGCCACGTACTCTTGTTTTTCTCAACTTTCATTTTCAATAGAAACAGCAGGTACCATAGATATTAATTTTCGAGAGACAATAGTGTACATCAGGTAAAATTCTTACTTATGATCTTAATCATAAAAAAGTAAATCAATCTAGGTTGTTCAAATTGACTTAATTAAGAAGATCAATAAGTTCTTACAATTTGAATCCAACATAAAATCTTGTGATTATTAAACTAATCGTTTAATCGACTTGATTGGGTAGGCCGATATTAATTTGTGGTACGAATGTACGATATAGCATGGCAGTCCATCCATCCACTGTGCCCGGCCTCGTGTTACATGCATCTCTAACTTACCCCACATCTCAAATATTATAACAACCTCCCCCAACCACTCTTAACTTTTAAATATATCTTAATTAATCCGCACAACAATATTAATTAATATTATTGCGCATCCATGCATGTCACACAATATAATGCAACAGCATACACACTAATTAATATACTTAATATTGCAAATCACTTAATTAGATCGAACTGATATACACCGAATAATAATATCTTATCGTGATTAAAATAATCATATTTCTTATGACTCAACGCCTCAAAAACCAATTTTTTTTTTTTTTTTTGGTTAAGATCAAATACTTATCACTATATGTCAAAGATATAAGTAATAGTGATTGTGTAACTTTAAACAATCAAGCGCTTATCACTATGCCAAAGATATAATTAGTAGTGAAGGTGTAATTTTATAAGGACAATTCCCAGCCTTCAGATCAAGCGCTTACCACTACATCAAAAGCTATAATTAGTAGCCAATGGGCAACTTTATTTCTTTAAACAACCATATTTTCGAAAAGCAGAGTATTAGACTTAGCCTTTCATGCCTCCACTCAACAATCCCCTTAGTCACCTGATACTGGACTAAATTCTTCACCGACATCAGCCCAACATTTTTGGATTTCATGAAATAGAACTTTGACAGACATTTCAATCCTATGTTTCGTGTAACAATTCTAGTCCAACTGCGTGCATTCTTCTCTTGTTTCTGCAATACCTACAGAGCAGGACCATCTCATATGGGTGTATGTTATTGTTTTTTAGTTTCACATACCTTCAAATGGACGATTTTGTGAAATAATGAGTAATAATACACTTTTTTAAAAAAATATATATATTCAAACACATCAAATTTGATGTGAGACTTTGCGCAATTGTTTCTTAATCACTATAAGAGTTCGAAAACCAAATAATAATAATAATAATCCGTAAGTTTATATATATATATATATATAGAGAGAGAGAGTTGCACTCGGGTGCGAACGGCTCGCCCAGGCGCGAAATAGGAATGGATTTTGTTCGACCACGTGTCCAGATCTAATGGATGAGAAACACTGATTTTTTAAAAACACGCGGTGGCATTTTCGTAAATAATTGAACATCGAAGTGCAAGTAAAATGTATTACAAGTGCATGTAAAATGTATTATAGGTGCAAGTAAAAATTTACACTGAGCATCAATCGTAGTTGCACTTATAGTTTTAAGTAGTTGCACCTATAGTTCTAAGTAGTTGCACACATAGGTATAAGTAGTTGCATCTAGGTGTATGAATGTTTGCGAGTGGTTTTCAGGAGTATTACTACCCGCTGAACTCAGATCAATGAATGTTAACAAGACAAAATTACATGCACTTATAGGTGAAGGTAAGTGCACATATAGTTATAAGTAGTTGCACCTATAGTTATAAATAGTTGCACATATAGTTATAAGCACACCGAGGTGCATGAATGGTTGCGGAAAGTGAATGCTAACAAGGCAAAATTACATGCACTTATAGGTGAAAATAGGTGCACTTATAAGAGATTTTACTTGCACTTCGATGTTCAATTATTTACGAAAATGCCACCGCGTTTTTTTTTAAGTTATTAGATCTGGACACGTGTCACGCGCTGATTCGTTCGCATTTCCTTCCTGGGCACTTATTCGCACCTGAGTGCGTCCCTATATATATATATATATATATATATATATATATATATATATATATATATATAGTCGCATTCAGGTGCGAACGGCGCGCTCTGGAGTGAACTGTGAAACAATCAGCGCACGCCATGTGTCCAGATCTAGGTGCACATATAGTTATAACTAGGTGCACCTATAGTTATAAGTATGTGCACCCGATGAATGAATGTTAACAAGACAAAATTACATGCACTTGTAAGTGATTTTACTGTGAACTTTTACTTGCATAGGTGCACTAACTACATGCACTTGTAGGTGAAAGTAGGTGCACCCGATGAATGAATGTTAACAAGGCAAAATTACATGCACTTGTAGAGGAAAGTAGGTGCACTTTACCTGCACTTTTTACTTGCATAGGTGCACCAATTACTTGCACATATAACAAATTTATATGAACTGAAGGACAAGTGGCCAGGGCCGTTCCATTAAATATAGAGGCCCTGTTTAATTGTTTAATTTGGATTTTGGACCTTCATTGTATTTGTTACGAGATGAAAATAGATGTTTAGAAGATCTAGAACAAGAATAAAAATGTAATTAAAATTTTTTGTCCAAATATAATGCATAAAAATTTAACAAAGAAAGAATACAATTCAAAAGTTAATTTAATAGTTCTATTTTTGTTCATATTTAAATATAAAATTATTCACCAAAATTTCAATGTCAATTCATTAAAGTTTTATTTTCAATTATATTATAATTAAGACCAATCTATGAATTCAAAAATAATAATAATAATAATTATCAAGTATAAAAAATAATAGATTATATCTATAATATTTTTTTAAAAAATTGGGGGCCCTGTGCGCTCGCGCCGGTTCGACATGGCCTAGAACGGCCCTGGAAGTGGCGTGCGTTGGTTGGTTCGCAGTTCGCTCCTGGGGGGCGATTCGCACCTGAACGCAACCCTATATATATATATATATATATATATATATATATATATATATATATATATATATATATATATATATATATATAGGCGGGTTCAGGTGCGGCAGTGTCTTACGGTGCGGTTATTTCTTACGGTGCGGCAACACCAATAGTTCACCAAATATGCACCATCAACGTTAGAAAATACACCACACAAAACAGAGTAAACAGAGCCCTGCATCACCAAACACACACCATTAGGTGTGAGTAAAAACACCATACACTGTTCGGAAATACACCATTGGGGGTGGTGAGTTATATGGTGTGTTTTTTTGAGTATGTGGTGTATTTTGTGATGTTTTATTACATTTCATTGGGGTGTGTTTTATTACACTGTTGGTGTATTCTGGAATTTGACCGCACCGCCGCACCGTAAGACCCCGCCGCATATGAGCGCTATTCTATATATATATATATATATATATATATATATATATAGAGAGAGAGAGGGTTGAGTTCAAATGAGGACCACTATATTATAGAGGATTGTGCAGTCTGGTGTAGTCGTGTGCCACAACTTGTATGTGGTGTGCATAAGTTTGTTAATTAATAGAGCCTGGGTTCGAAACCTGATGTTTACATGTATTATTGTTGTATGCATGATACTAATCTGTTGTGTGTCCGTAATCAGTCCGTACAGTCCTCTATATATTGTGGTTCTCATGTGAATTCAACAATATATATATATATATATATATATATATATATATATATATATATATATATATATATATATATATATATATATATATATATATGACTGGCATTTTATATCATGTTACGTTGAATGTATCAATTTCTCATATATATTGCAGACACTTCAATTCATGGCAGGTAGATTAGCTAGTTATGCTCTCTTTTTTTTTCTTTTTTTTTTTTTAAATGTTTTTATTGTTTTCTGTTTATCTCTTGTGATTTACTTGTTATTATTACATCTATCTATTGTTGGTCCCAATTTTGTACATACTCTAAATCAAATGTTTTCTCCATCAATTTCAAAACTAGCAGCCGCATAGTTTGAAAATTTTGCATCAAAATTCTCATACGATAAGTCTGTAACTGCGTGTCCAATCATAGCTATTCATAACTTAAGTCTGAAGAGTCAAGACTTAAGCTTAGTTAAATGCAAAATTAAAATGACAGAAATATTTTATTTTTTAAAGGTATACCTTGCTGTAAGCAAATAAGGATCGGATCCTATCAAAAAATAATGAGGATCAAAGTAAATAAAGAATCTCGAACGGATGGAGTATGAAACCTTTACAAAATGATACAACTGCAATCATATCTTGTCCCACGCAACATTTTTCAATTAAAGAAAGAGAGAAAAAGGGTCAAATCGGCTACTAAGTCAACTGGATAGTACAATTAAGTCACTTTATTAAAAAAAAAAACATCATTCAAGCTCTCTAAATTGGTAAAATTATGCAATTAAGTTAAAATTAACTTATTTAACAGGTTAAATATTTTATTACTGTATTAACACGTGTCCTTTTTATTTTATTTTTTAAAACAATTTTATTTATTTATTTATTAAAAAATTAAAAATATTATTTAAAAATAAAAATAACCACCAATTGTCCATGTCGGACAGTCGATGGCTGTCTTATTCATGGATAGCCAAGGCCTTTGAAGGAAGACGGCTATGGCCGTCTTCTAAATCTAGAATGAGGGCGGTGCAGACAGTCGGTAACTTTTTTTTTTTTTAATAACTAAAGAAAAAAATTATTTAAAGAAAAAAAAATGTGTCAGCACAACAAAAATTTAGCCTGCTAAATTTTGAACTTAATTGAACAATTTTATCAATTTAGGTGGCTTGAATAAAAAATTTTTACTTAGAAAATCTAATTACACTATTCAATTGGCTTAAGGGCCAATTTAACCCTTTTTTCATATAAAGAAAGGTGAGAAGTTTCCTGGGCAAA